TTGCTGGCTTCCCCATTGACTTTGTTTGTGGGAAGCCAGCAGAGAACATTGAAAATCATGATCACATGACCACGGAGATACTATGACAGCCAGAACTCCAAGGACAGGTTGTAAGTACCATTTGTTCAGCATTGTCATAACTATGAATGGTCACTGAATGAATGGTCATAACTGAAGGACTACCTGCATTGCTATTTAGATAAAAGTCTTAGTGTTTTAAATGTTACATGCCATTCAGGTTACATAGACTCTGTAGTTTAGCTGTGATCTTAAGTGGTTTGTACCATGTAATTGTATTAATTTTTTTTTAAGTTGTATTTTATTATTTTGTACTATGGCTAGTTATAGGCACTAAAAAAATAAAAATATGATTAGTGTTATTTATTCAGCTGAATCCACTGCTTTAGCATATGCTTTGTTGGTCAGTCTTTGAAAATGACTTGAAAACTTCAGCTGTTGTAGAATATGGCAGGTTATGTACTTCTTGGTGAAACAGTCTAATTGTATTAGAGTAACTTTTATCTTTTGCACTGGTTACTAATGCTCTTCTGATGCCAGTTTGAAGTGCTGCTGTTGAACTTCAAAGACTTAAATAGTTTCAACTGTGTTATGTGACAGACCACTTAGATTCATACATTTCAAAGTGTACTTTAAAAATCTAATTATTGACCAATTTCCAAAAAGGCATCTTTTCAGGTTAGCTTTTCAAGTTGTCCCACAGGGATGGAGGGAGTGGGAGGAGAGAGAATCAGCTCCTTTTCAGCCATTTCCTACTTAAGCTTTTTCAGGGAGATCAGCTGTCCCCCTTCTGTGCAATGAGAGCAAGGCAATTCTTCTGCAGAATTATCTATAGAACTGAGCTATTTGATACAGCTACTTCAGATTTCTCTTAAGAGAACTGGAGAATAGAAGTGCTTGGAGAGTAAAGGCTTCTCTATCTCTGTCTCTCCAATCTCTAATCCAATTTGTTTCACTGCAATTTATCAGCAGAGTCTCTTCTTGGATCTTTGGCGCTCTTGCCTTACATCTGTGAGCTGCTTTTTCCTACTGATCTCATGGCCTTCATGTTTCTCTGTCCAAAATGTCATTCTTAGGTTTCTATGTAAAATTCTATTCTTATTTATAAAGCCCTCATTCCTCCCTCCCTCCCTCCCTCCCTCCCTCTCTCTCTCTCTCCCCGTCTCTGTCTCTCTGCTGTTTTCATTCTGTGGCTGTTAAACCTCACAACTTCCATCCAACTGCATCCATCATACTATCTATTATTCTAAACAATTTTAAACATCTTTTCTTCTGGCTCCCATACAATTAAGAGTTCTCCATTGGTGGACTTGAGGGGAATCAACTGATGAACCCCCATAGCTTTTCATACTCTAACACTGAGTACCCCTACTGCATTTTCAACAGATCCTAAGAAATCCTAAGAAACATGTTTTGGACACATCTTATTATATAATTTAGATTTATTATTTAAATCATCTTCTCTTTCCATTTCTGTGTTCCTTTTCTTATTTCCCTTATTTCTACTCTCAATTTCTGGCTACTAATGATTAAGTCTTTTGTCTTTTCTCTATTAAAAGAGTTTAGCAAAATACCTTACAACTGCAGTTTGCCTTTATTGCTAATTTCATGTTAGTTGTTCATGGGTGCTTTACAAAGTCATTTGACTACCTAAAACTTTGGAATTCTAAATTATAACAAGCATTCCAATTTGTAGGCCAATTCTTTAAAATACAGCATTGGGTGCTGAGGGAGAAACACTCCTAGAGTTGTTCTCAGAAATGTTATATTCCAAATTAAATGCAGGTTTCTGACAAGGTTATAGCCCAGGCATGAACAATGTTTGAAGGGTCATAGACCACAGTTCAGCTTCTTAACCTTCCAAAGGACTCAGGGAGCCCATCTAGTTCTGTAGCAGTATCTTTGGAAAGAGTAGAACTGGATTTGGGAACACTTTTTCATATTTGGCAAAGTTAAGAGTAAGAATTTGCCATTTTTAAGGCTAATTATGGTCATGGGTATTGAAGTGAGAATGGGAGTGGTTGACCTCTATCCTGATGTTTTTATTGTAATTTTTAACCCTTCCCCCCTTCAAATACAAAAATATGGAAAAAATCAGCCTACCAAATGAAAAGAAATGGGGTCATTTTTAAAAATGTTTAAAGTTGGGAATGGGAAAAGCAGGTGCAGCTTCCTATTCTCACTCCTATTTGTTAGGTCAGATAAAGGAAAGGAAAAAAATATCCCATCAAAATTGGCTACACTGGTTACAAATTTTAATTGCAGTTTCAAGATGCTGGGGGCTACAAATGGAGAAGGTGCAGACAATATGGTTTGGGACTTCCTTACTTCTGCTATAGACAAACCTTTCCTTTTATGCAAATGATTCCATGATGTGCCTCTAAAACATTCTACACACATGTTAAGTCATGATTTATTGACTAAACAATAGTTGACTGGGTTCACTGATTTCAATAAACAATAAAATATGGTTTATGGTTTACAAGCTGCAGTGGCTGGATTCACACATTATGGTAAACCTAAACAGAACAAGCCACGTTACGCCTTAGCATAATTCATTGAACCAGCCATAAAGCTGTCCCTTAAATGGTGAGAACATTTGTTAAAATAACTTGACTTGACTGATAATAATGGAGGAAAGAAAGGTGACTGTTTTTCTTAATCATTTGCAAATTCAAAAAATGAGTACTGTAAAGTAATATTCATTTCAGTAATCTGAAGTCTCTCCTGAATAATTTTACCACTATTCATTGGATTGCTTTTTGTATTAATAAAGAGAATATTCAGCAATTGATTAATCTGAGTTTGCCTTTTGCCTATTGCCTTTTAAAATCCATTTACTTGGAATGTAATTATATTACAATCTTGTCAGAGTAACTGCTTGGCATTTTATTAGTACGTACTGCTACTCAGTGAAAAATAGTAATCTTTAAGCAGTTTGGCTCGATGAATTTTGCTTCTCTAAAAGTAAAAAAAAAGAGACAACAACAGCATTTTAAGCTTATCCATTGTTAAACATTGCTCATTTAGATGTATTATTCATTACCAGAGGTAAAAGGAATTTCAAACAAAATATGGGACTGGATTAATTATTAAGCAATCTATTTAGAATTCAGTCCCCTAATGAAAATGTCCCATTTTCATTTACAGATGTCAAACCCTTCACTCGCCCCAGTTTTCTGTGTTGCTTAAATATTTTCATTTGTGTATATTGGTTTCTTACAGTATATGGTGGGAAAAATAACCAATCTTTGTCAAGAAAATAAATTATTTAGACTTATTTGACAAATATAATCAGTAAAAATCATTTATTTTAAATCTGTAGGTACTTATGAGCAAAATGCCACTGATGGGATAATTCCTCTGGAGGAAGAGAGACTGGTTTCACATATTCCTCCTTCCCTACAGCTCCTGAAATATTGGTGTAGATGGCTGGAGACAGTCTAAAATTATATAGGATATAACATGGAGGGTGAGAAGGATGAATCAGTTGCATTCATCTTTCCTTTAATCCTTTTTCTGGATTCTAGTTTCTTCTGTGAAAATAGAGTCCTTCAATTCCCAGAACAAATATTCTAAATTTATCTCACTGCCTCATAGTAATAGAGAAGAGGCAACAACCATCTTTTACTTTTTTACAGAAAGGGTATTGTTAGAACCAAATCTGCCTTGAAAGAATCTAAATGATTTCTAGATTGTGAGTATAAAACATATGTTCAGTATTTTTTACCAGCTAGAATCTTGCAAGAAAGTAGGCAATCCCACTGGATGCACCCGGTATAAAAATTTGTGCTTGCATAAAACAGTTGTAAAATTAAGGTAAAAGTAGTAGATAACACTGTCACAGTATTAGATGAGCGCTGTCAAATTACAGTTTTCTATAGAATTATGGCCTGCTCAGTAGCTTTTTAATCCCCTTTCTTTCAGTGCTCCTATAGGCTACTAAGCTAAATTGTAGCTCCAGGAATTAATATTACACCATCATGTTGTGTAAGTTTTCTGCAAAGCATAATTCAATGATCATAACACAAAATGTCATCTTAAATGTTTCAGCTTTTATTGTCTTACAACTCTGTATTAACTTTAAACTTATAGGCAAGTATATAGCTTCATAATATATAACAAAAACTCTGCAAGTTCCTCTAATTGTTGATTAAAAAATAAAATAAAAGGTGTAGTTTTGATTTTTATTTTCACAACTTCCCTTATTACTTTGGAACATCCATGGAGTATTGGGCTATCAGTGGCTAATAAGACTGTGTAAATCATTCAGAACAGATGTTCTGGAACACGTGCAAGCTTATACAAGGTTCCTTTTTCAAAATGTTAAAACAGCTTCATCTTTTTGCAGTCTCATGCAACTGTTTTGGAAGCTACTCCTAGCATACACACATGGAAACAGTCAAAAGCAGTTTTTGAAGAAGCCCTGCAAGGCTTGAAAAAGACATGGCTGTTTTAACATCAGAGCTGTGGAATATATAGACAGACACATAGTTTACTGGGGAGGGGGGGATGCTGCTATTTATTTTCATGCAGTAACCAGGCATTTTATAGTAAAGGTAACAGTTAATTGGACAGAAGGTAGATAGCCAAGGTAGAAATAAAATGGAAATGGACAATTAAGAAAGTGTTAAAAATGAAAGCCCAAGAACAAAAGGAATAAATTATCAATAATATTGGTTGCAATGGATAGTAAAGAATGCTCCTCTGTCCCCATAATCCCTTTATAGTTACATGGGGAAAATAATAAGATGTAAATAACTCAAGTGGCTTTACTTTCATACTGAGGTTTGGATTTTTATTTGCTTGGTTTTCAAAATGAATCTTAAAAACTTCATATACCAGGACTGCTATTTTTAAAATGATTTAGAATCCATAAATGTATTTTGCTATTATGTAAGCAAGCAGGAAAATGTAAAAAATAGAGTTTATATATTGAAATTGCTGCAAATATGATCCATGTATCTATAAATGTGTTTCAGGTTTATGCATAGATTATGTAGAGAATAAGCTTTATTGGATCAGTTCAGGCAATGGAACTATAAACCGATGCAACTTGGATGGTGACAATTTTGAAGTAATAGATTCAATGAAAGAAGAACTAACCAAAGCTACAGCCTTAACCATAATGGGTAAGTGAACATATGAGTTAACATGGTTCACATCCAATATCTAACTCTTCTGATGCACATTAATTATCAGAAACTTACCAAATTCCTCCATTAAAGTATGTTGCATTATATTTTCTTAATATAAAGTTTGAATAATTTCTTTTTTGATATTTTATGTTTATGTTTATTTTATTTTATTTTATTTTTAATTCATAAGGCTCCACAATGTTCTACTCTGTCAGATAGCACAAGAAAGTTTGAAGGTTGTATGATTTGGGGATTGCATGGTTCAGTCAAGGATGTTCTTTTTCAATCACACAATGGAAATATGTATATCAATACACATGCACACATACTTGCTAAATACTTTTGTATTCCTATTTTTATTATTGTACTGTAACTTAAAAAAAATATTTAACTATGCAAATAAGAGGGCTGGTATTCATTCTTAGATAATTTACTGATGCTAGAATTATGGCTGATCTGTTATTCACAGTTAAAATATTAGTACTATAATCTCTTGTTATATTACAGTACTGTGCAAAAGTTTTAGGCAGGTGTGAAAAAATGCTGTAAAGTAAGAATGCT